GTGGTGTTATCAATTACCTCTTCTTACCAATAATAATATTAGTATGGTAATATCTTTGGTCGTGTGAGAACGAATTAGCGGTCAGTTGTTGCAGTTTTAGACAGACAAAATCATGCTGGATTTAACCCCAGGGTCCTCAAACAAAAGTTGTGGTGCAAAAAGGGGGTGTGAAGATGATACTTCAGCCTGCCAGGAAGAGTAGGAGACGATAGAAAATAATGCCTAAATAATTGCACGACCCTTCGCATAAAGTTGCCGAGCAAATAACAACCATAAAAGACAGCAGATGGGTTGCACGAAACGTCAGAACCATCTTATCTGCGTGTTGGTAACTTTGATGGTTTTAAGAACAACAACCTTGTATAAAGGGTAAGTGGAGACAGAACTACTTATAGGCTCTTTGTAGGGTCAGGCTCGGAGATAAGCTTTCTGAAGGCTTTTATTAACCCCGAATAAGGATAAAAATTAAAAGCAAACGCGTAACTTGGTGTCCCATGAATGTAAAAAAAAAAAATAAAGTACGAGTTGGTAAATAATATTATTAAACAGGCAGAATCGTAACTTGTCTCTCCTGACCACGAAAGCAACACTGCAGAAGAAGAGGATTCACGAATGCGATTTAATACGGAGAGAAAAACAACTTTTGCTTCCCACCACTGCTGAAGTGTTACTGTGGACCCACGGGTCCCGGCGAGGGGACACGAGCGGGCGCAGTGTGCGCCGGGACACGCGTGACTGGCTGCCGGCCCCGCAGCTTCCGCCTGCCCCTCTCCTCTGAGCGCAACTGCCAGCGCGGGTGCGCTGAGATTTACGCGGATAAGCGGTGTCCATATTCCACGCTGAGACCCTCCCACACGCACACAGTGGCCGTTTTTTCACAGCCTAACTTCAGCGAATGCACCATTATTATTTGAATATTTAATTTTTTTCGCCCTCGAGTCAGGGCGATGAATTAAAAGGTCCGTGGAAAACTTTGCGGTGTAATGGGGAGCCGGGGGAGTGGGAGGGGGGAAGAGCAGGGGCCGGTGGAGACGCGTATCACTTCATAACTTTCCGCTCGCCTCCCGAGCCCTCTGCACTGTCAGGGTTTTCCATACAGCTCGGGTAGAAAGTTTCCCTCGGCGACCTGCGCCACTCCCGGCGGTGCCGGCCGGGGCTCCGCCGCGCTTCCCTGGGCGGGAGGGAACCGGGGGATGGGGAAATGGGGGTGGGGGGAGGCAGCGGCCGAGCTCCGCCGAGCGACCCCCGAGCAGCGCATCGAGGTGGAATTTTTCTCCAAGAGAAAAAGTGGGAAGGCAAGCGGCGTAAGGAAAAACAAAACCATAAAATGTATCACTGGTAACCCTAGAATATGTTAATGTCGAGAGATACAAATCTGGTAATTATGCCTTTCTTGCCTGTTGTGTTCTCCATTGTTCATTAAACATTAAAGACGGGATTATTTAATTTTCCACTTAAAAGATTCTCTCACGTTCCGCAAAATCATATTAATTTTCAATCATTTTACTTTTTACGATGCATCAAGTTTTGGTTTTATAACGCTATCAATGAGCTGCCTCCTCACACATCGCGCTATATGAAAGGCACTCTTAGAACGCTCTTCAAAAAAAATCGTCTGCTCCTGCGGGAACTACCAGGCACTGAGCAATAGAAAAAGCCAAAGTTTAGGGAGGGGGGGGAAATGTTGCCTGAGCAACAGCAACAAACCCTTTCAAAATATGACCGGATGAAAATTCACACATTTCTGGAACTGCTGCAATTGAGTAAAAATGCCTGGGCGAGGTTGAAGTGCGTCCTCTCCCATTCCAGTCAAACAGGGGGTAGCTGAACCCCTTCACCTCAAGCAAGTCGGGGAAATGCACCGCTCTGCTTTGGCAGGAGAAGCCCCAACTCCAGCTCCGGCTGCTGTGCCGGGGGCTTACAGGAGCGCCCGCAGTCTCTCGCTTTCACCTGCACCATGCTCACAGCGAAACGTACTGCACACACCCGTAACGTGTTATTAGTGTGCACGGGTGCAATAAATCCCTACTTCTGAAGGGGGAAATAAACCTCATGCTCAATTAATGGGCTCGTCCCCACCCACTTCATATTAGAAAATTACATCAGATTTCAGCTATCACGATCTTCTCCAGATATTTTAAACGAGACACTCGGAGTGAGACCGAACTTTCAGCAAGGATAAAAGCACAGGGAGAAGATGTGTCAGAATTTATATAAGGGGAACAAGCTTTTTAATTGTAAAGAGGGCAGTCACTGAGAAGGGTCCCGTGTGCACATCTCACTAAACGCAGGGCAGAAAAGTGTGCTCGTCTAATACCTAAAAGGCTGTGGTCTGGTGTTTCAGTCTTGTTTCCCTTCAGGGTCGTGCCCGTTTCTAACGAATACCTGCACCACAGAAATCGCCGATGGCATGAGTGCCAGCAAACCATCCGGAGTGGCCTAAACTGTCGCCTCTGACTTTATTTGGTTTGCCTACCCACATAAAAGCGGGGAATAAACTGCGAGCCCAGAAAAGCGGTATCAAAACGCACCAGATAAAGCGAGCTATCAGCAGGGAAAGTTTACACAGAGGAGTCTCCCAAAGAAGCCGGGGTTAGTGTGTTTTAAGGACTAGGGCTGGATTACACGGACTGGGGAGGGGGTATTAGGAGGAAATCCCTTTCACTGATCCCTGGCCCCATGAGCAGAGATGCCCCCGCCCCGTGCTCGGCGAGGTGGGCTGCGCCTCCGCGCCCCACCGATCACCGAGGGCCGGCGACGGGGCCGCTCCGCACAACGCGGGGGGGGGGGGGGGGGGGGGGGAACGGGGCGAGCAGCGCTCGAGGGCCGGGCTGCAACTAGCGTTAAAGAAAAAAAAAGGGGGCAACCCCCCCCCAACAACAACAGCAACAACAACAAAAACAACAGCGAAGAGGATCGCAAGGGCGGCTGGCGGAGCCCCCCTCCTCAAAACCCCCCACACGCACACCCATGCGCGGAGCTGCGGGCACTGCTGGCCGCTGCGCGGTGCAGCTCCGTGCGGCGGCGATCGGTGACGGCGGGGTACATCCTAGCGGCGGGTTCCTGCCATGGGAGCCCGGCTGGCCCCGGCGAAGGGGGAGGCGGGCAAGGACGGAGACGGGAAGCGGCAACTTGTGGCGGCTGCCGGGGAGCAGGAGCTGCTGCGCGGCTGCGGAGCCGCCCGCCTCCCCGGGGGACGGACGGGGCGGGAGGGGACGCGGCGCAGAGGGACGGGGCGGGGGAGGCTCGGCCCGGCTCCACGGCAACTGGTAACGCGATAGAGGGGAAAGCGGGGGGGAGGGAAGTCTCTCCCTTGCCCCCCCCTTCACTTTTACAAAAAAGGGGGGGCCTGGGAGAAAAGCCGCTGTTGGGAAAGTGCGTGCGGAGAGGGAGGCTCGGAGGCGGCGGGAGCTGATCGGGCTGCGGGGCTGGGGCAGCCCGGCGGCGGCCCCGGCAGCGCGGCGCGGGAGGCGGAGGAGGAGGAGGAGAGTAGGAGGAGCCGCCGTGTGACCCGCACAGCTCCCAAACTTGAAAGTTTATCTGCCCGAAATCGAGAGCGGCCGCGGTGCGGGCACCGCTCCTCGGCACGGAGCGGAGGCATCGACCGGGGAGCCGCAGAGCTGGGAGCGGCTGCCGGCTCCGCTGCGAGCGAGGCGAGGCGAGACGAGGCAGAAGAGGGGGGATCGCCCCTGCGACAGCAACCACAGCCACCCCCCACCCCCGAATCTGCGAGAGGATCGATACTGTTTGCTGGAGACCAAGGACTTGCTCATCGGCGCACACGAGAGACCGCTGTCATTAGCTAACAGGACACACGACTGAGCCGGGGGGTGGGGTGGGGGGGAGGGCGAGGAGTGTCACAAAAAGTCATTACAACCTGAGAGAGAGAGAGAGAGAGAGAGGGGGAGAAAGAAAAAAAAACTTCCTACCAATGGACAACAGGAAGTGACCACCACCACCAACGGGGAGTCTCTGCTTGGAGAAAGAAGCTGCAAGACAAAGAAGAAGGAAGGAGAGGTGAAAGACAAAACTGCCCAAGGTCTTCTGCGTGTGCGTGCGTGCGCTTTCGAGAGAGAACAAAAGTCAGCCGGGGAGACTGAGAAAGAGGGACGGAAAAGGAGACGGGATGGAGGAAGAGCTAAAGACAAGCATGTGAAGAGCAAGGGGAAAGAAGAGCGGAGCAACACACACGCACATCGAAAAGAAAGGAAAAAAACAAAAGCGTACACAAAAGTTTCTTTTCCTCTTGGGAAGAATTTACTCACACGCACACAGAAATCAGATGCCTTGCAGATCAACTTCTGGAGAAAGACGGAGAGAAGAGGACGCAGAGTGATGTGAAGAAAGAAAGGAGGAAAAAAACCCAAACCAAAACCCAGAAAAGAAATCAAAGAAGCCGAAAGCAAAGGAAAAAAAAAAAAAAAACACAAAAAAACAAACTGAGAGCCGGGGGGCGGGGGGGGGGGAGGAGAGAAAGAAAGAAAGAAAAGCGAAGATCGTGACCTCCCCCAACAAGTGAACCTTGCACATATGTTGTGTAAAGTGTGTGCAAAACAGAGCCCTCCTGCGTGGTGCGTGTGTGTGTCGCTGCTGCCGCCGCCGCCGCCGCTGCTGCCGCCGCCGCCGCGCCCGGTGCCTCTCGCAGGCGGCGCTGCCGGTGCCGGGGAGACGCATCATTTGGCGGAGCGAAGCGGCTAATTGCGGAGCCCCGTCCTTCATTTACATATGCAGCCTGAGTCCGCTGGAGCCGCGCCAATCCGCGCTCGCCCCCAGCACCATTAATCGCCATGCATTATTCACAATCATAATTACCGAGCCCCATGCGCGCTCCGCGCAGCCGCCCCAGCCCGCCGCGCACACCCTGCCGCACCGCGCACACCCCGCCCGGCTGATCCCCCGCTCGCTCACCCGCTCACCCGCACTCCCTCCCAGTTTGGTTGGCTGGTTTAGCTCTGCTTTTTTTGTTTGTTTGTTTTGGGGTTTTTGTTGTTGTTTTTGTTTGGTTTTTTTGTTGCGTTTTCTGTTGTTGTTTGATTTGTTTTGCAACTCGACTTTTTATTTGCGAACAGTTATTTGCAGCCCCCACTCCCCCTCTCCCATTCCCTCGTTCCCAATTCCTCCCCCCTTTCCACCTCCACGTCGCTGATGCCTCTGCAAAAAGCAGAGTCAAGACGGCTCAGTTAGCAGCATGTCTCGTCGAAAGCAAGCGAAACCCCAGCATCTCAAATCGGACGAAGAGCTGCAAGCGGAGGTAGTTTCTGAGCACGGTAAGGGCTCTCGGCGCCTCTTTCTCCTTCTCTCTCTCTCCTTTTGTGAGTGTGTTTCGGATGGAGATAGGTGGATTTATGGTGATGGTGAACACGGGAGCGCAATTACTCTGTCGCGGGAGAATGGGAATTAGAGCAGCTGGGGGAAGAGGCAGCGGAACTGAGAAGTTAGCAGTTTAGCCAAGTTTTTGCAGCCCACCTCCTGACTAACCATCCCTTCCCGCAGCTCCCTCCTGGCCTCCCGAGCACTTTAATCGCGGCTGGGCTCGGCGGTGGGGCCAGGCCCTCCCTCGAGCAGCTGCAGAGCGGCACCCCGGAGCAGCGCCTGCCGCCTCATCCTCCTCTCCGCTGTGCATTTTTTGGTGTTCCCTTTTTTTCTCCCCCGCTGGCGGCTCGCAGCGGGCAGGAGCCATGTCCGTCCGTCCGTCCGTCCCCTTCCTCCCCCCGGCAGGAAAGTTGGGGCGGCCGGAGCCGGGGTGTCCTGCCGGGGGCTGCGGGTCCCGGAGGGTTCCGTGGGCAAGGGTTGTAGGGGCCCGGTGCGCCCCCCCGGGGTAGTCTCAGCGTGGCCGGTGCCAGGGGCTGCCCCGCGCCTCGGGGAGTCGCGTCTCCGGGCAGCCCGCTGGGTTTCGGGCTATCCCGGCCGCTGCCCCCTGTTGCCCGGAGGGCAGGGGACCCCGGCAGGAGTGGGCAGGGCCAGCGGGGCCAACTACATTATTTCCGAGATTGAGCAGCAGCTTCTCGGCTCTCCCCCACCGTGCGCCGCCTTTCCCGACTGTGCTGCGACTGTAGTTATTATCAGTGATGGGTGACACGGAGTGCCACCACCGCCACCAGCCCCTGTCGCGCCGGCTGCAGGCAGTGGGGAAGGGTTGTTTTCTCGCCCATCCGCCATTCCTCGCTCCCTCCCCACAAGCAGGCACACGCACACTTGCATCTGGGCTGCCCGGGCTCCTAGTGAACAAGTGTCCAAAGCGGGAAAGGTTTGGGCTGTAATCACTCCTTATTTCCACTTTGCTGTATTTTGTTTTTCGAGGAAAGGCCTACAGGGTTTTCTTTTTTCTTTTTTTTTTTTTTTAAATTCATTTTTTCTAACTTTTAATTTCCTTTGTAATCCTTGTCTTTGCAGTGTGCAAAGGCATGTTGCAGCCCAATCTCACTTTTCCTGGGCTAAGTTGAGAGCTTCCACTTCAAAGTTTTTCTTTTGCTCTTTGCGCAGAGCCCACTGCCTGCTTAGTTGCTCGCACAAGCTAGTGAGAGCCCCCAGTGTTTTCTGTGTAGGCCCCTCTCTCCACTGTTTTATCCTTCCCCGCCCTCCCTCCTTCAAAAAGAAAAAAAGTCATTCTCCTGCTTCAAAACTATAATGACTTCTAAGTTGCATCTGTGGGGAGAGAAAGGCAGCAAAGTTGAAGCCTGAGGAGGATTTTGACTATTGTATCTGAACTTTGCAGCCCTGAAGCTTAGGGCAGCGTGAATCCACTTCATCAGGTTAAAACATCTGTCAGACTGGCAAATCGTTAAGCCTCCTGCTCCTTCCCAGCGTATTTGGGGACCCAGGGAGCGAGTCCCACACTGCCCAGGGCTGCTGAGGGGCTACTGCCCCTGCTTCAGGAAAGCCCACTTGGGTGTTGACAATAACAGACACACAGAGAAATGCTTCCTCCTGTCACAGCGGAGGAACAGAGCAGTGCATTTTCCACATTTATTTCCTTTTTTTTTTTTTTTTTTTTTATTCCTTAGGAAACAGTGGTCCTGTAAAAGCAACTAAAATAGGCAAGCAGGTGAGAATTAGTATTTTATCATGTAAACAAGGCTCGTTGAGCTCAGTCTCTGTTGGGGTGGGACCTAGGTCTAAGAATTCATCATTAGCATTCTAAACTTTTACATGCCCTGAACCCATTTCAGCACAGAAAAATAAAACCCCACAACTTCATTATGACACTCCGGGTGAGTTAATAAATTAAAAATATATATAATTGTTAAACTAGGTTTTTGTTTTGTTTTGTGAATCTTATCTATGTAGCCATGTCACCCGAGATTAGAACAAGAGATATGCTAAAAAGAAACGCTTGCATATGGTGGGTAGATTAAGGACAAAGAATCTTTTTGTCATGGAAATGTTTGGGGGGTTTTTTCCCTTTTTGGGGGGTTTTGTTTTGTTTACTTCATCACATAGAATTTCTCACACTTGGTTTGTTTTGTATTGCCCTCAATGACTACATGATCAAATGAATGGATTTATTTCTGCCGAATGAGAAAGACAGTCTTTCCATCAAAAGGACTACATTGCATCCCAGTGAGGAATTTTAAAGCGTTATTATTGTGGTCCCTGAATAGCACAAAATCGGCTTTCACAGCAGCCCTAAAATGCAACAATGTAAATACTTTTCATCCTTGGAAGGCTGTTATCAGAATGTGCTATGTTTCCTTTTATTAAAACATATTTTAATTACTAGAGTGAAACCCGTCATAGTTAACAATTAACAAGCTAAAGTAGTGCTGTTGGGTTTGCACTTCCATCTGAGAAACGAGAAAGAGGTGGGGGCAGGACACACGAGCAGAGGGCTATCTAGTGCACATTAGTGTAATGTAAATCATTTACACGTTATATTAGGAAGCCTAACGATTGCTATACTGCAAGCAATTTTATAGGCCAGATATAATGAGTGCTCCAGATCTCGTGAATTAAAGCATTTCTTGTCAAGTCACTGTTCTTCGTTTCTGTTCACAGCTGTAATCAAGATATTGCTACAGTTCCTGAATGTATTTTGCAACAGGCCAAAAATAGTGCAAGAATATTTGTCGTTTTTAGAAAGCAAACTGTTCAAGCAGTATTATTTGGTACATGTGGCCTTTCCACTAATTCGGCTGTTTATCTTCAAAAGTGGAAGTTGTTGTTAACACAAGATGACACAAATGAAGCTTATTATTTATTTAATGGAATTGTGTTTAATATCACCTCAAAATAGATTTTATTAAGTGAAGCTTTTAAAAATGAATGTCCCATAAGCATAATCCTTGGAGTGAAGGGACACTCATAGTGGCAGAGAGAAGCCTGGCAGTTTGGGGAGCAGAATGGAAGATGAACATTAGGCCAGATTTTAAGTTGGCTGGTCTCAGCAGAACTTTCATGCTAACATTACTACAGAAGTTTAAGCATCAGAACAAGCAATTTTATAGCCAGCTTGGGGTAGAGCACAATACAAATGAATTCAATCAGGGCAGTGTCATGATGGTGAGAAACTGTTAGAAATCTGAAGATAATTAGCAATGTCATCAACTACAGATTTACACTCAAAATCGTTTGAAATTATTTGTTGAAAGTGAAATGCTAAAAATAAATTTTTTAATAATTTTGAAAGGAAGTGTTAACAAAACAGCTGGTGGTGATACAGTACTTGAATAATTGCATTGTGGAAGAGTGAACAAAAGATACCTCTTAAAAAACCCCAACACTTTGAGGTTACTAAATTAGAAGATATGATTGAAATCATTTAAAACCAGGAGCAGCAGGGCTCAGATGACTGCCTGTAGAATACAATAATCTCAGTTTCTCAGTAAATGTAAAGCATTGTAATAGCTGGAATTACATTTCTAATACACTTGCCTAATTCAACAGATTACAAACGAATCAGAATTAGAGGCACAATGAACATGCTTCAACTCTGATTAATTTTTATATTAAGCCATGGATGTAGCATTTGTACTTTGAAAGTAGGGATAATAAAAGGGGGGTTTTGTAATGCTGAAAAGTGATTTTTGGAGCGTGCAAGTGAGATTCTGGTAAAGGGTGATGACAAATGAGGCTTTGGACTTTTTCATGCGAAGTTTCTGGCAAAGATGTATCATTGTTTAGTCTGAGGTGGAAGATACCTTATAGTTAGCTTTATAATGACAGTTTTCTACTGTGCCGTTTGCAGTACTTTTTTAAAATACTGAACCTGCTTTTCTCCCCACTCTTACACAGCATGGTCTAAACTAATGAATCTTTTTCATCCTGGTAAAGTGAGATTGGGCTGTGTAGTTTTAAGCAGTTTGTGACTGCTCTCGGTATTCTTGTGGAGTGTGTACACAGACACACATGCTCCGCCACAGCAACGACACAGTTTGCTATGAAGCAACCAGCTTCGTGTGCGTGTGTGCTCACTCTATCTGCATGTACAGAGGGGAAAAACACATTTTGGAGGGACATTCCTACATACAAAATAGAGGTTGTTCCACATCAGTTAGACACTACTGCCTTTAAAACTTGAGAGGTCACAAGCAGCTCTCGGTAAACGTAACTTGGGTGATTTTTTGCAAGTTTTTGTTCTGAGGCAACTGTAAGAGGAGGCTTTTTGTTTTGGAAAATAAAGGCCAAATAAGTATTGCTGCGAATTGTCCCTTTGCTAAGAAATGGTAATTGAAACTTTATGTAAATAGTTTTGCTATTACAGTAGAGACTTAGCGTTCAAACTGTGTAACATCTGTATTTGTATAATTTTTTTAATACTTTTTTTTAACTGTGTTACCAATAGGAAAACATTTGGAATAATAAGGAAACGACAACAATCAGCCGATTTGCTGATATATGTGTAGCAATGAACGTAGACAGAACTGGGTCAGATTTTATGTGGTGGTGCTGGTCTAGAGCAGGTCTTACCATCTCCTGGGGTAGATATTAAAGCTGGTTTTTACGGAGTTGGAGAGAGGAAATTTTGAAAGGTGTTGCTTTAAATTCTGTGTAATTAAGCCATTAACATGCTTGCATTAAGCTGTTGAAAATTACTTCTTCTTGCCTAAGAAAGAGGGAAATCTGCAATTCAAAAAAATGGGTGGCATTAAAAAAAAAAAAAGTAAAAATAATAACGAATATTAATGCAATTTCTGAAAAATAGTTTGAGTCCTGGGAAGATTTTGTGGTTATCTTTCCTTCATTTGTTTTGTTGACTGCCAAGCCAGGACAAACATATCTGTTGACTATCCACCAGTCAGGACATGAGTCAGTCACTTTTGTTGATAAT